AGAGGAGGAGAGGGTGGAGCGGGGAACTGCCCACCTGCCCCGCCCAGCGCCCTTAGGAGGTGGGGAGAGGCGGGGGCTCGCTTTAACCCCACTCGCTGCTGGGAGGGCCGGCGCGGTGGGGGGCGGCCAGGGCCAGCCCCTGCAGGGCTGCTCCGCCTGGGCTGCTGCAGGCTGGCCGGTCTGCTGCCAGGCGCTGCCAAACTCCAGGCTGCAGAGCCTGGGCTGGGGCGGCGCTCTGAGCTGGAGGGAACCGGTGGTGAGTGGGGGTGGGCGGGGGATAGACCTGGGGGCACGAGGAGACCCCAGGTTGGTCCTGGCGGCACACACAGTATCCACCTGCACAGCAGAAGGACCGGGGGCGGGAACCCAGCGGACGCACGCAGAGAACCTCAGCCCGAGTCCTGAGCCGGGACCTGCTTCCAGCGGAGGGTGCAGAGGGGAGCGCCGCACACCCCAGGCTGAGGGATGGGGGAGGGGCCTGTGCTCTGCCTCCCAGGCTGACTCAGCGCTGTACCTGCCATGGCCACGGGGATGGGAGCTGAGGGGGAGGAGGGGCGAGGCAGGCAAGGGCAAGGGCACTGGGGGAGCCGCGGGGAGGAGGCTCCGGCCAGGCTCTCCGCACTCAGGAGGGACTCCTCCTAAAATAGCTCCGGAACTCCCAGGCTCCCTGCCCTCCTCCCGCGGGGGCTGGCGGTCTTTCTGGAACTGCCCGGGGATGGACCTTCCACCCCCCGCCCCACTCCCCAGGGAGAAGGTGGGATCTCCCAGGGTGAGAGCCTTCCCGGGAGCACCCCCCACCCAGGTCAGGCACTGAGCTAGGCCCCACTTCCCACCACAGGGACCTTCCTGCTCCCCCCTCTCCAGCCCCGCTCCCTGGAGGGCAGGAGCCGGTCACCTGGTCTGACAGGACTGCTGGCCTACTTGCTGCAAAGAGCCCCATGACCCCCGACCCCAGAAAACCTCCTCCCCCTGAATCTAGGCCCTCCTCCTCCAGCCGAGCCCCCACAGCTCCTCGGAAACTTGCTTCTCAGGATCTCTGAGCCAGTCCCCGGGGGCCTAGGCACACTAGCCCATCACCGGGAGCCCAGCTACTCCGGGGCGGCTGGGCTGGTCCAAGTCACCTTCCCACCCACAGGGGCTTCCGGAGGGAAAGGGGCAAGGCCCACACTCCTCCCTCCCGACTTGGGGAGGGCTCCTCAAGGAGAGTTTCCTAAAGCACCCCTCCCTGTTATCCCCTCCCTTGCACCCCCTCCCCCGGCACCCCCTCCCTCGGCACCCTCTCCTTGTTACCCCCTCCCTGACACCCCCTCCCCCGGCACCCCCCCTCAGCACCCCCTCCCTGGCACCGCCTCCCCTATTATCCCCTCCCTGGCACCCCCTCCCCCAGCCCCTCTCCCGGCACCCCCTCTCCCGGTACCCTCTCCCCCGATACCCTCTCCCCCCCCCCCGTACCCCTCTCCTGCATCCCCTCCCCCGGCACCCCCTCCCTGGCACCCCACCCCCTGGCACGCTCAGGAGGAGCCTCCAAGCTTGCCCACTGGACAGGTGTCTTGAGGAATTTTGAGGAAAGGGCTCTATAAATGTAAAATTCTCTAGCTGCTAGCTGAGATCTGGAAACAGCCCACGTGCCCATGAGCAGACGAGCGGGTTAGAAAGCTGTGGTCCATCCACACCATGGCACACTACGTGGCAATGAAAAAGGCAGAACGCTTACCATCTGCACCAGCCTGGCGGCCTGGAGAGCATCATGCTGAGGGAAAGAAGCCAGTCGGAGAAGGACAAGTACCACACGATGTCACTCACGTGGGCTATAATGACCAACACAAACTGGTGACAAGAACAGACCAGAGACACAGATGGTGAACAGATGTCGGACCTCAGAGGGAAGCAGGGGAGGGGGAGGGGGGAAGAGATCAACCAATGAGCCTGTGTGCACAGATGCATGGCCCGTGGACAGACAATGGGGGGGGTGGTTTGGGGGGATGGGAGTGGCGGGAAGAGGCTAATGGGGGGGAGGGGAAAGGAGGTTCTGTGTGATACTTTCAACAGAAAAGATTAAAAGAACAAACAAGTAAATAAAAACTCTCCAGCTGCTAATGCATTTCCCAGCGTCGCCCCACTGGAGTGCCCTGATGCCCCGGAGAAGGCCTGAGGCTGGGGAGCAGCGGACAGTGGGGACAGCAGGCTCTCAGAGCCACCCGCTGGGACCTGCTCCTGCCTCTGAGAGGCCTGTGGGCTCCTGAGAAGTGGCCCTGAGCACTGGTGAGCGGTGAGGCAGCCGGGCGGTGGGGGCAGATCCTGTCCCAGGATCTAAAGGTGGCCAAGGAGGCCCTGGCCAGTTAGCTCAGCGGTTAGAGCGCCAGCCCGCTGCCCGAAGGGTCTGGTCTGTTCCGATTGCTAGTCAAGGGCACAGACCTGGGGTGTAGGGAGACGGGCACGTGCAGGAGGCAGCCAGTCGATGTGAGAAGTGTCTTCCTGTGAGGGTTAGCCAGGAAACAAACCAGAGACATGCAGGGAGCTCTGCCCCCGCTCCCTCCCTCGCAGGCCAGGTCGCTGTCCTTCCCTTTGGCTCAGCTCCTGTCTCACCTCAGCGTCTGCGCTGAGAAACATGAGCCTGTGTAAAAATAAAGCGGCAGCAAGGGTGCCGGCCGTGGCTCCCGCGTGCGAGGCCACCCGGGGAGGAGAGGGCGAAGGTGCAGCCTGGGAGGGAGAGGCTGCGCCTGGGGCCACAGACTCTGAGAATCTAGGAGCTGCAATGGCCTGCAGACCCCCCTGTAGCGAGCACGCCGCCAGCACCTTCCTGCAATAGTATCTCAGCCAGGCTCCGGGGCAGGATGTGTGTGTGGCCTGGGCAAGTGTACAAAAGGAAATGACACATGTGTCTAAATATAAATCAAAATATCAAAGTGTTAAAATTTAGCCCTAGCCAGTTTGCTCAGTGGATAGAGCATTGGCCAGCAGACAGAGTGGACAGAGCATCGTCCCGTGGACTAAAGGGTCCTGGGTTTGATTATGGTCAAGGGCAGGTACCTTGGTTGAAGGCTCCAACCCTGGCCCTGGCTGGGGTGCATGCCGGAGGCAGCTGATCATCTCTCTCTTTGTCTTCCTCCCCTCCCCCCACTTGCTTCCACTCTCTCTAAAAACCAATGGGAAAATACCGTTGGGTGAGGATTAACAACAACAAAAAGTGTTAACATCCATCTATTCCCCCTCCCCGCTTTGATTAAGGTTCCTTGGCCTTAATTTTAAGACCAACTTCCAAATCCATGGCCCTCTCTGCTCTGGTCCTGAGGGCAAGGCTCTGAGCATCCTGGAAACGCTGCCCCCATGTGGGCTCCCTCGGCTCCAGTGCCCGCAGACAGATGCCCTCGCCTGGCCTGCGGGTGCGTGCCTGCAGGTCAGCCCCGAAAGGATACCGCATGGTATAGAAAGGAGGTGCATGGACCACCCCTTCCTGTCCCAGAAACCTCTTTTCCAAGGGAAGAGTATGGCCCCCTTAACCCAGGAGCCCTGGGGGGAGGCCCCTGTTGCCCAGATCTGCGGGTGCCATTGCCCTTCACAATCCAGGAGGTAACCGTCTTTCTCTTCACCATTTACAGACGAGGCTTCTGCAGAAGTTGCATAACTTGCTCAAGGTCACAGCTCAGTGCCGGAGCTGGGATTGGCGTCCCAGGTGCCTGGCTCCAGAGCCACTCTGTGGGGGCAGCCCCACCGAGACAGCATCTCAGAAACAAATACACACTCAGCCCTGCTGGTGCGGCTCCGGGATTGAGCCTCGACCTCTGAACCACGAGGTCAGGGCACAGGCCAGGGTTGCAGGCTGGATCCCCAGTGTGGGGTGTGCAGGAGGCAACCGATCCATGATTCTCTCTCACCATTGGTGTTTCTATCTCTCTCCCTCTCCCTTCCTTTCTGAAATCAATAAAAATATTAAAAACCAAAAAACAACACACACACAAATACATATCCAGCATTTCCCATACAGCCTCAGGGGTCCCCTGAGGCCCAGGGGACAGCGCTGAGAAGGCGGTGGTGATGGTCTGTAGCGGGAGCTGGTCCCCAGTCTGAACCAGCTTCCAGACGTGGAAGAAGGGAGAGGGGGAGTCCCCAGGCTCTGCCTGGAGGGAGAAGGCTGGTGGTTGTGGGGAGGCGCTCAGACATCAGCCACAAACTCCCCAGAGCCCTCCTTGCTCTGCACTCACACCGCCTGGAGAAGGCCTGCGGGTCTCACCCCTCCCTCTGACCTGGGCGCCCCCAGACCCGGAGTCCAAAGGAGAGGCCTGAGCCCTCTTGGTTCTGAAGGAGGGGGAAGCCTGGAGGGGTGGGAGGGGGGAGGCTGAGGGAGGCTCCTAGAGGGAAAGGGAGGGAGGGGTGCCTGGCAGGGGAGGCGGGGGTGAGGGTGGAACCGGGCGGGGTCTGGGACTTGGAGCCCCACATTTCCATTTCCGCGGACTCCGTGCCGACAGGGTAGTGGGGTGGGGGCAGTCAGTGCGCAGTGGAGGCTCTGCCCCGGAGCCCGGCACACGGCTCCCCTGGCGCCCGGGGCAAGCCGGCACACGCCCCCCTGCGGGGTGCCAGCTGCGGGCACCCAGCGGCCCTGGCAGCCCGGCGCCACCCTCCGCCAAGCTCCGAGCTGCTCCCCAAACTCTCCTGCTAGCGGGCAGCTCAGCGTGGGGAGGACGCGGCGAGTGCCCGCCGCGCCGCAGGCCCGGGACGGACCGGGGCCGCGGGGGCGCGGGCAGGTGCGCGGCGGGCGGGCGGGCTCCGGGCGCCTCCTCTGCGGCTGGAGCGCGTCCAGGGCCGGCTCAGCGCGCGGTCCTCCCGCTCCTCCTCCCCCCGCGCACCTCCTCCCCTCGCCCGCGGCCTCTCCGCAGCCGGCTCCTCCTCCGCCTCCCGCTAACTTTCCCGGCGCCGCGGGCCGCTCCCTCCCGGCGGCCCGGCCTGCAGACCGCGCGCTCGCTGCCCGGGGTCCGTCCCCGCGCCCCGCGGAGACCGGCGCCATGCCCGGGGCCAGATGGCCGGGCGCTGGGATCTTGGGTAAGGCGCCCCGGCTGGTCCCCAGCCTCCCGCCCCTTCCCCGCACCCCGCAGGGGGACACTGGAAAGCGGAGCCCGGGACGGGGCGTGCGGCAGAGGCGCGGGGCTCCCGTCCTGCGGGCGCCCCGGCCCGCCCCTCGCCCCGCCCGGCCGCCTCGCGGTGAGTTAGTTCTCTGCGGTCTCCGGTCTCCGGCGTCTTCTTTGGCGCTGATTCTGGGGCTGCAGTGCGGCTCCGGCTCAGGTCTGGGTGTGCAGGGGCGCCGGTGTAGGACTGCCGGGCGGCTGCACGTGCTGTGGTTGGGGTGGCGCTGTGTATGTGCAACTTGAAAGCTTGTCACTCAGGCCTCGGACTTCACCATGGGGGCCTCCCCCTCCCCCTTTTCCCACTTGGCTCCTCTGCCCTCCGCCTCCCCAGGGGCCCCCCTCCCCACCCCGCTTCCCTGCGGGTCCGGACGGGTTGCAGGGACTCGGAGGGCCCATCGAGCCCCTGTGGGAAGGGGTTCCAAGGAGAGGCTGGGTGCTGTCCTGCCCTGCACTAGGGAGGACTGGCCAGGCAGAGGGCACAGCGGAGGGAGTGCTGGCATCTGTGACAAGCACAGGGGTGCGGAGGGCCAGGCAGGAGACGAGGGAAGGGTCTTTATTTGTCCAGAAGGCGAGTTCATGAGCCAGTGGTTTCCTGTAAGCGGACTCCGGCCTGGCACTGCACCCTCCGTGTGTGTTGGTCAGAGCTGGCAGCTGCCCTGTGGCTTGGGCACATGACGGAGGCAGTTGTGCTGAGGACGGAAGGTGGAAGCCTTGGGCAGTGCGGCGGCTTCTGCAGATGTTGCTGCCCGTGGGCTCCGTGTGGAGCGGGCAGAGTTACTCAGGAGCCACTGAGTCAGTGACACCCCAGCACGGTGGGTCAGCGCCGGGCATCCCCTGGCACCTCGGGCTCCGCTGTATGCTGGGCTCACGGCGACCCAATGAGACAGACCTAGTGAGGCTGAGGTCTCCTGGGCTCCCCCGGGGCACAGTGACACTCCCTTCCCCTCCCCTCCCCTCCTCTTCAGTCTCCTCTCCTCCCCTCCCCTCCTCTCCCCTCCCCTCCCCCAGGCTCCCGCTGTGACAATGGCAGAGGGTCAGGGGTTCCTTGTCCACTCCTCCTGCCTCTGGATCCTGGGCTGCTCCAGTGCTCACAGACCCGGTTTTCTGTGGGAACCCACCGCACACTGAGTGTGTGTCAGTGTGTGTGCACACATGTGTGCGTGTGCATGTGTGTGCATGTGTGCGCTTGTGAGAGAGACTGTGGGCAGGCACTCCTCTCCAGGTGGCAGCCTGCCTCCTGAGGCTGGGCACAGGGGGACAGGGCAGGCCCACAGGAGAGGCTGGAGGGGTCCTGAGCCGCCCTCCAGCCCAGGAGAAAGCAGTGATGTGAAGATGGCGGCCAGCAGGCTCCAGAGCTGGCCCACCTGCTCGGCCCCTCCTTGCTCTCAGCCGAGGGAAGATATGGTTCCCTTGGGACCAGGAAACCACAGGGGGCAGAGGGCCTCCCCCCTCGCATGGCCAAGGTCAAGGGGACGGAGCAGGTTTCTCTGCTCCATCATAGTCACTTGCCTCCCTGTTAATCAAAGCCTGTGAGGGGAAGTCAGCAGGGTGTGCTGATGAGTTAAGGAACGAGAAGCTCAGGTCCTGGCTGGTGTGGCTCAGTGGATAGAGCATTGGCCTGGGGACCAAAGGGTCGTGGATTCGATTCTGGTCAAGGGCATGTACCTCGATTGCAGGCTCTTCTCTGGCCCAGGTCATGGTCAGGGCGAGTGCAGGAGGCAACCAATCAATGTGCCTCTCTCACCTTGATGTTTCTCTTTCCCTCTCTTTTCCACTCTTTTTTAAAAACCAATGGAAAAATATCCTCGGGTGAGGATTAAAAAAAAAAAGAAGCAGCTCTGGGGCCTGGAGTCTTGGGTGGGGTGAGGACTATGGGGCATAGGGATGGGGTAGAGTCTGGGAGGCAGACTGGGGCATAGGGATGGGGGTAGATTCTGGGGGGCAGACTGTGGGGCATAGGGATGGGGGTAGATTCTGGGGGGCAGACTATGGGGCCTAGGGATGGGGGTAGAGTCTGGGGGGCAGACTATGGGGCATAGGGATGGGGGTAGAGTCTGGGAGGCAGACTGTGGGGCATAGGGATGGGGGTAGAGTCTGGGGGGCAGACTGTGGGGCATAGGGATGGGGGTAGATTCTGGGGGGCAGACTATGGGGCATAGGGATGGGGCTAGAGTCTGGGTGGGAGTACAGACTGTGGGGCTGAGGGATGGAGCAGAACTCTGCCCCTCCAGCCCCTCTCCCCATGTCAAACTCAGTCCCAGAGGGAGACCCTGTGCCTGGGGTTGGCTGACCACACTCCTGTCCTAACAGAGAGGTCGTTCCTGAGGCTGCATATGGCGATGGAGGCTGTGGGGGGCCTGTCTTGGGCAGGTAACTGGTCATATCTGGCCTGCACCCCTCGTTTCCTGAGCTGCTTGGTCGCTGTGCTCTGTGCTTGGTGATCCCCGTGTGGGTGAGGTGCTGGGTGGCACAGCCCCCTCCCCTCGCTGCCTGTTTATTAGGCTGTTTCCTGAGAGAACAGTTAACCGAGCTGCTCAGCCCCCTCAGCGGCGGGGAGAGGGAGGGGACGGAGTTTGTGGGAGAAGAGGGGGGCATGGAGGGAGCCCCAGGCTTGAACGACAAACCAGGTTAGTTGTTTCTCCGGAGGTGCAGACCTGGGGCATCCCAAACCCTATGGCTGCCCCTCCTGGCGGGTCAGACAGACCCACCCCTGTGCCTGCGGCTGCGGCTGAGGGAGCTGTGAGCGCTGGCTGGCCCGCTGGCTCACCTCCGGGGCCGCTGGGGGCAGGCCTGCTGGCACCTGTTTGCAGAGCTGCTTGTTGAGCGCTGGGAGGTCTCAGGGGCCGCTCCTCCCGCAAAGCTCCCCGGGGCAAAGCTCCCGGGGCAAAGCTCCAGGGGCGCCGGAAGCAGCCCGTTGCCTAGAGAGAGCGGAACGCTTTCCTGTCCAGCGCCCAGGGGCCTTCCGGCCCGGCTCTGCCTCCCACAGCCCAGGCCTGCACCCCGGAGGCGTCATCCCGCTGCCTGCCTCCAGCTCTGGCTTCAGCTTCCAGAGGGGTCCACGTCCCCAGGAGGGCCAGCTCTGCCTGCCGGCCAGCCCGGAGCGGACCCGGAGTGGCGCACCCTGGCCCCTTCCTCCCCTCGCACCGGCGGGGAAAGAGCCTCCCTGGCTGGGGGTGTGCGCCTGCTGTGGCGCCTCAGCAGGCAGCCTGGGCCTGCCATCCTCTCCTCTCCCGCTGGGTGACCCTGCTGAGCACAGGGCTGGGGGTCTCTAGTGGCTCCACGCCCTCTGCTCCCTCCTCCCAGCACAGCCTCCCAGGTGCCCGCAGACCGGGCTGAGAGGGGTGCGGGGCAGAGGGGGATGAAGGCCAGGCTGGTTGGCCCACCTCTCGGGAGCCTTAACGTGGGAGGGCTCTGGTCTTGGGGAGCCCGTCTCTGGCTGTCCCGTGTCCCCTCCAGGGCCAGGGGAGTGGCAGTGCCTCACGTTGGGCGTCTGGGGTTCGGCGTGAGGTAAGCCATGGCACAGGCGCCCTCTGAGCCGGAGGCAATGTGCTCCAGGTGCCAGGCCTCCAGGGAACAGCTTTCTGCACATCTAGGCTCTTCCTTCCCCACTCCGTCTGAGCAAGGCCACCAGCACACCCTCTCCCACGTGCTCTGGAGGTGCTGCTCTGCAGGGCAGGGAGGGGTCTGCCCCAGGTGGGCTCCCCCTCGTCCCCAGGAGCACAGCCCCAGGCAGGGTGCCGGGGAGCCCAGCAGTGGCCCTGCTGCCCCTGGGAGCCAGGCCTTGGTTCCTGCGGGAAGCAGGTGCTGGGTGCGGGGTGGGTGCGGGTGGGGTGCGGGGTGCTGGGTGAGTGCGGTGTGCGGGTGCGGGCTGAGTGGAGGGCAGTGGTTGAGAGAAACTAGGAGCATTAGCCAGACAGCATCATGCTCCTGGGAGGCCCTGCTGCGAGGGGAGCAGACCTGTGCCTGCACCCCACTCCCTCTTGGGTGGGGGGGTGGCCTTGCGCCCCCTCAGAGCGGCGTCTGGGTTGCACACGGGGACTGACGGGTCAGTGAGACGTGGTGTGTGGAATGCCCGCCTGTCCTGCCGATGCTCAGGCTCCCAGGCAGCTGGCATCGCCTGCAGGAGAACAGCCATGCCTCGGTTGGGGCGTTGTGATGAGAGCGGGCTCTATGCACCTCCTTTCCCCAGCGAGGCAGCTCTCGGAGCCCCTGGCCCAGCAGCCCAGGGGCAGCACAGCTCTCTGGGCTCCGGGCTCCACCTGGAACCAGGACCCGCAGACGCCGCCACGCCTGTCACTGTCCTCCGGGGGCTCGGGGAGGGGTCACTGAATAACCCTCAGGCCCTGGCCGCTGCTGCTCAGTGGGTAGAGTGTCAGTTCCAGTCAAGGGCACGGACCTCGGTTGCAGGATTCTCCCCGGCCCAGGCCCTGGTCGGGGCTCATGCAGGAGGCAACCAATCAGTGTGTCTCTCACATCGATGTTTCTCTCTGTCTCTCCCTCTCTCCGCCGCTCTCCCTGAACCAATGGGAAATGTCCTCGGTGAGGATTAACCAAAAGAAAAGCACCAGCTGGAGCCCTGGCGGGCAGCCCTGCTCTTTCACAACGTGAGGGAGGCCCGTGGTGCTGTGGCTGATGCTCCTGGTGTTGTGGCCGTGGCCGTGTCTCCGTGGGCCGCGAGCAGACCACCTGACCGCCTATGGGGCGACCCCAGCCGGCACATCACATGTGTGAGGCCAGAGAGCCTGGCGCCTGCGAGTGCTCAGCACATGTGCAGCGGGCCCTCCGTCCTGTCCGGCAGCCAGTGCTGCTGGGAGAGGTGCTCATGAGAGGTGGGGCAGGGACCCGGTGTCCATCACTGACCATGCACACGGGCTTGCTCTGCTTGGTTCGCTGGAGCTCCGAGCCGGCCTAAGGCAGGACGCACGGAGCCGGCGGAGCAGTGGCAGCGAGGCCCGGGCCGGTGCTGCCCGCGCTGGAGGGAGAGTCTCTGTCTTCAGAAGCCGAGAGGCCGGAAAGCTGGGGAGCCGGGGCGGCCGCAGGACTGTGCTCTCCTGGGAGGACTCCCTGGTCCCTCCTGTCCCCGTTGTCAGGTGCGCGAGGTGTCAGCTCGCTGTGGGCAGGGCAGCAGAAAGGCCGTCTGCGCTGACCACGCCAGGCCGGGGAAAGCAGGCAGATTGGAAGGGCCCTTCCTTGCGAGGAGTGGGAGAAAGGGCAAGGCCAGCGACATACATTCATTTACTTATCTATTGATGCGTGGCACGGATTTTAAGTTTGATGTACTTAAACAATTTTTTTTGGTTAATCCTTGCCCGAGGATATTTCCCCATTAATGTTTAGGGAGAGTGGGGGAGGAAAAGACAGAGAGAACATCGATGTGAGGGAGACACATCCACTGGTTGCCTCCCGCACAAGCTCTGACCAGGGCCCAGGGAGGAGCCTGCAACCCAGGGGCGTGCCCTTGACCAGAATGGATCCGGGAGCCTTCAGTCCAGGCCAGCGCTCTGTCCACTGAGCGGACTGGCCAGGCCGTTGTACTTTCTCTGTGACCATTACACGCTGCTGGGCTCTCTGGCCCGAGGTTGGTGGCAGGACCGGGAGGGGAGAGGTTGTACAGTACGTTTAAGGAAAGCGGAGGTTGCTGGTAGTTGCAATGGTTGGAAAGCCGTTCAGGACAGACCCGGCAGTGGGTCCTGGACCAGCCTCACCGGGGGAAGTAGCCACCAGGCCGGTTAGCTCTCTGGCTGGTGACGACCGGCGGGGAGGCCAAGCAGGAGACGTGGTGGCGGCTGCGGCTCACGTCCACAATCCGGCAGAACGGAATAGAGTCCATCCTGTGGTCATTTCACGTCTGAACCCTTTTTCCAAACAACCTCTGTGCTTTCCTCACACTGCGGGGACCAAGCAAGGCCAGCGGCCTTTAAAACGCTGACCTCCCCGCCCTGGGGGACATCCCGCCCCTGGGGGACATCCTGCCCTGGGTGCGCCCACAGGGCTGGAGCCGCCTGGGCTGAGGGCCCGTGGGCCCAGCCGCTGGCCCCGGCGCTCAGCCACGCCTCCTCGGTCTGGGCGTGGCGGTCTGTCTGAGGGAAGCAGTGGGATTCACACACCGTCCGGCCCTCCGGCTTTGACATCGTGGGACCCAGGCTGGAGGTCCGGGTGGCTGAGTCTGGGAGGAGGTGCTGGGGAGACCAGACAGGCGGCTGCACTCAGCTGCCCAGGAGACCGGAGTCTGACCCCTGGAGGTCGTGAGGCGAGGCACGTGGCTCCTCTGAGCCTCCTTTTCCCGCCTGTGAGCTGTGATTCTAGCACCAGCTCACAGGACGAGGCGAGAATGCCATGAGACGCCTCACGTGCACACTGAGCGAGGATTGGGGTCCGGGACAGAGTGCTCTCGGGGGTCACCGGGAGCTTGAGGAGGCCCCTGAGTCCGCACCCTCCTCACTCCAAAGACCATCTGATCTGGGGTCAACCCCTCCTCCCACCTCGATGCACAGTGGGGTTCCTCCAGGACTTTGCAGGCTGGCAGGAGGGCCGGTCCCCCTGTCCCCAAGGCCGGGTGGGATGGGTGTGCTGGTAAGTGGGTGTGGAGGAGGAGGGGTGAGGTCAGAGTGGGGCTGGGGGGTTGGGGACGCCTACTCAGGAGAGGACAGAGACCAACGCCGCTGTGCACCATCCGTCTTGCGTGATCCCGATGGTCTGATGGTCCATACGCCCCCCGCCCAGCGCTCAGCCAGACTCTCCCTGAGCTGCTCGCTGTGGCAGCTCTGCTGGCTGCTGCTCTGCCAGGAACCACCGTTCCCAAGCCCACCCGCTCCATCCTGGCCCTGGGGGGCTCCGGGCTCCGGTGGGACAGAGTCCGGGGCTGGAGTGCATTCTCCTTTCTTAGGCGCAGGGGTGGAAACAGGTGGCTGTTCTGGGGGAGATCGCTGTGGCACGTGGGGCGGGGGGAGGGGGGGCGGGGCGGGGCGGGGAGGAAGATGAAGAGGTACAGGAGGGCGTTTTCAGAGACTGTGCCCAAGACATGCAGGCTCAGGCTCAGCACCGGGCGGGGCCGCGTTTCCTAGGTTGGGGCGACCCCTAGTGGTCACTCAGAATGCCACCGGGGCTGTAAGTGGTCCCGCCTTCAATCCCGCCAGGCCAGGGGTGGGACGGAGAAGGAAGGCTGGTGGCCCAGGTGGTGACCACAGAAGTCAAGAGAACCATCTTCCTGAAGTTCACGCCGAGGGTGACTGCTCCCAGCCTGGCCGAGCCACCCCCTTCCCGGGCCCTCCTGAGCTCCAGCCTGGAGGCCTTTGATTTGTTTATTTTTAAAATATATTGTAATTGATTGCAGAGGGGGAGGGCCTAGAGGGAGAGCGAAACATCGGTGATGAGAGAGAATCATTGATGGGCTGCCTCCTGCACGCCCCCTCTTGGGGACTGAGCCCTGACCTCCAGGTTCTTAGGTCAATGCGCATCCACTGAGCCCCAGGCCGCCGGCCGGAGGGCTTTGGTTAAGGGCTGGTGTCCCCACAGGTCTCCTCCTGCTGCCCGCGGCCCTGGCACTGGAGGTGTCCGTGGGGAAGGCCGCCACCATCTACGCCGTCAACGGCTCGGAGGTCCTGCTGCCCTGCACCTTCACCAGCTGCATCGGCTTCCACAACCTGGCCTTCACCTGGTCCTACAACAGCAGCGACGCCTTCCGGGTGGTAAGTGGCGTGGGTGTGGGGTGGGGGACAGAGGGGACGGGCCAGGGCAGGCCGCCTCCCGCCTGCCGCTCAGCGGCCTCCATCCCAGACTCGGGCCTCGGGGACTCGCTCTGTGAGGCCTCCTTTGCTTCCCTGGTGCTCTGTGCCGTCGGCCCAGAAGTGCCCACCCCGGGGGAGGGCTGCTGAAATCCTGCCGCCGGGTGGGGGCTGTTGGGGTTCTTGCTGGAGTGTCCTGTGAGGTCTGAGGGACCCTGACACGGGACTTGCTTGTGCAGAAGGGGATAAAGAGTTAATTTCTGAAGCGGGAGGAGAAGGGCCGTTGGAGGCGCGGAGAGAGGGAGCGAGGAGCACCCAGTCCAAACAGGAGAGGGGCTGGGGAAGCAGGGAGGGGAGCGAGCAGACGGGGGGGTGGGGGGCTGTAGGAGCCCCCGGGCTGGGAGGGGTTACCGAGGCCTCCCCTGCGATCTGGCGGGGACCAGGAAGACAAACCAGGGGCGTGGGAGGCCGACTCCCCATAACGAAATGCTGACCGTGGATCTGTGGCCGGGCTGTGTGTGGCATGGACCCGGTCTCCACGGAGGCACCGTGCAGAGGACAGAGGGCGTGCCAGCACACCTCGGGTGGCAGAGGCGGGGGTCGCGATGGCAGGCGCTGTGCTACCTCGCAGGGGCCCAGGGCTTGGGCTGAGGTCAGGCGGGAGGGCAGAGCGCTGGCTGTGGAGGAGAGCGGGCGGGCGGGTGCTCGGGCCACAGGCTGCTCCGGCGCGAGGGAGGTGGGCGATGTCCTGACAGCGAGGACCCCCCCCCACCCCTGCAGCTCCTCAAAGGGACCGTGAAGAACGAGAAGGCGGAGCCCCGGCTGCACGTGAGGGGCGATGAGCGCATCACGCTGGAGGGCTCCACCAAGGAGAAGAAGAACAACCTGTCCATCCTGCTGCACGACCTGGAGTTCGGCGACACCGGCCGCTACACCTGCCACGTGCAGAACCCCAAGGAGAAGGACCTGCAGCACCAGGCCACCATCTTCCTCCAAGTGGTGGATAAGCGTACGCGGGCGCGGAGGGGCGGGCGGGCTCCCACCGGCGCTCTAGTGGCGGGACCCGGCCACGTGCTGCTCTGAGCCCGGACTCAGTCCTGTGTGCCCCTCTTCCTCTCTGGAGGTCACCCCTCTGTGCCCAGCCTGTCCGGAAGGCAGGGAGGGCACCACGTCCGTGGGCACAGCTGAGGGAGGAGCTCGCACCGGCTCCGCTCCTCCTGCTTCAGGCCGATGGATTCACCTGGACAGACCAGACCGCGCGCCGCCCACACGCACCCCTGAGCCCTGCGCTGCGGCAGGCCTGCTCTGGCCCAGGAGGAGCGTGCACCTGATAGACACGTTCTCTCCCTTTGCATACTTACGGATTTACTAGGAGCCTGTGTGCAGGAAGATTCCTGCACGCGGCCACCGCTGCGGCCCCGCCCCGCCCCGCCCCGCCCCGCCCCGCCCCACCCCGCCCAGCCCCGCCCAGCCCCGCCCTGCTCCACCCCGCCCACTCTGCCCTGCCCCGCCCCACTCCGCCCTGCCCTGCCCCGCCCCACTCCACTCTGCCTCGCCCCTCCCCCCCACTCCGCCCTGCCCTGCCCCACCCCATTCTGCCCAGCCCCGCCCCGCCCCGCCCCGCCCCGCCCCGCCCCGCCCAGCCCCGCCCCGCTTTCCCTCCAGCAGCCGCCTTGCTTTCCGTTTTCCCTCCCTTTTCCTTCTAAGCTGTCTTCAGTCTTCCTCCTCCTTTCCTCAGTATATGCAAATTAACCTCCTCCTTCCCTCAGTATATGCAAATTAAATTTGGAGGAGGAGGAAGAGGAGGAGGGGGAGGAGGCTGTGAGGAGGGCTTTGGGAAGGGGGTCCTGGCCTTGGCAGCTGCGGTGCAAAGCCCTGAGTGGAGAGAGGATGAGTCGTTTAGGCCGGACGCGGGGGGCTGGTCAGGGTGGGGAGCGGGGCTTGAGGAGCGGGGGTCAGGGACGGAGCAGAGGAGAAGCAGGCCGGGGTGACGTGGCCTGCTCCGGGCCACCCGCCGTTAGCAGCCGGGGGACTCCCAGTCTCCCCCACAGGAGACCCCGGGACCCTCACTTCCTCTGCTCAGGGAAAAGCCTGGGGAGAGGCCCCGCTTCTCACGTGGCCCCGGGGTCCTGACTCATTCCTCTGGAGCCTGGCCTGTGGGAGACGTGTGTGGGCAGGGGGGAGGGCGCGGGGTTCCTTTGAGGGCCCCCCACCTTCCGGCTTCTCTGCTCTGGCCCTGGGAGGCGGGGAGGGCCCAGGTGGACAGCCAGATACAGGCCACAGGCTGCGTGGGCCTTGGCCGGCCACTGTGCTTGGCTCCTGCTGGGCTCGGGGTGACCGCGCCCTGTCCCCCCCCCCCAGTGGAGGAAGTGGACAACACGCTGACGCTCATCATCCTGTCCGTGGTGGGCGGCGTCGTGGGGCTCCTGGTCCTCATCCTGCTCATCAAGAAGCTGGTCACCTTCATCCTCAAGAAGACTCGGGAGAAGAAGTGAGTGCTCCCTCCCAAAGCGTCCCTCCTCCCCCCGCCCGTCCCCCTCCCCACCCTGCCTGCACCCTCCAGAGCCACTGTCATTCCTCAGCTGCCTTCCTCCTTCCATCCGCCCCCCTCCCCACCCATCGCTCCTCCCCCTCGCAGGAAGGAGTGCCTGGTCAGCTCCTCGGGGAACGACCACACGGAGAACGGGCTGCAGGGTTCCAAGGCCGAGGAGAAGGAGCCCACCAAGGTGTAGCCCTGCGGCCGGGCCCGGGAGCTGTCTGAGCGCCGGGGCCGTGCCTGAAGCTGCTGCTGCTTGCCTCAAACCTAGTCCTCCGGGGAGCCCGTCCTGTCCTCCTCCAGCCCCCAGGCCCAGCCCCACCCCAGCCCCCAGCCCCACTCCAGTCCCAGCACCAGCCCCACCCCAGCCCCAGCCCCAGCCCCAGCCCCAGCCCGGGCTCCGGGCTCCCGGAGAAGGGGTTTGGGGTGGGGGTGGGGGGAGGGGCAGTCCTCACACCTGGGCAGCTGGGCAGGCGGCTCTCCTCTGGGGCTGAAAGAGGGGCCTGGGCCCCCAGCTTCTCCTAGAGTGTCTGAGGCTGTGTGCCTCAGGGACCCTGACAGGATCTGGAGGGGTGCAGGGAGAGGCTGCACCTAGGGCTGTCCTGCAGGGTGGGGGTGCCCTGGCCCCTCTGGGCTGGCTGCTATGCCAGGGTGGGCACGGCAGGGTCGCAGAGGGAGTGCCCACCAGGCCCTGCGGGCGCTGGCACCTCCTCGGCTGGCAGCACCCTGGCCCCCCTCAGCACAGGGCCCTCTGCCTGGGCGCCCTCTCTCTGCTGGCTGGCGCCTGGTGCCCTCACACCTGCCCCTGGACCAGGCTACCCCCCCCCCTCTGCCAGGGCTGCCTCCGCCTCAGGTCCCTTCCTCTGACGGTGTCCGGGCTCCTGGCTGCCTGCTGCTCTGCTGGGCACCCCCTCGCCATTCGGCGGGAGGAGCGAGCGCCCATTTCCTCTGCTTTTCCGAGAACCGCTGTACCCCATGTGGGCTAGACTGTGCCTTACAGGTCCAGCTCCCCCCCCCCCCCCCACACACACACCACCAGTCTCACGTGGGTCTCACGTGGCACTGCTGATGGCTCCCTGTGGACCGCCCCCCCCCCCCCAGGCAGGTGCTGAGTCGTGGAGACTGTGCCCAGTGCCCAGGGTCCCTGGCGAGGGTGCGGAGGTGGAGGGTGGCCCCATGTGCGGTCCCTGTGGGCGGGGGGGCGGGGGGGGGGGGAGGCTGCGCCCACTCCCTGCGCTCGGTCTCCCTCAGAGGCTCTCTGGGCCTGGAGGGAGGGAGGCAGGAGCCCCTGCCTCAGGGCTCCCCTTTCAGAAAGCAGGGGAGACGGGCCCAGAGAGGGGGCCGGAGGAAACTGGGGGGCTGTGCCGGGCCGAGCCCACCCCATGAGCTCAGGGTCCCCCCATTCCCAAGCTGCCCCTGTCCCTCTGACCTGCTCTCAGGACTCTCCAGTCGGGCAGCAGCAGAGCCAGTAGCGGGCCTTTGGGAAACAAAGCTGGTTCCTGCGGAGCTACGGCCTCCCAGCACCTCTAGGCTGGCAGGCAGCGCCCCCTGCTGGGAGAGGCATTGTGGGTCCCCCCCCCCCCCCCCCCCCCCGCCCTGGCACAGGAGGAGCATTGCCTGAGCAGGCAGGCATCTTCTCTGAGCTGAGCTTGCCCATCTCTCCGGTGGAAGTCCTAATTCCTACCTCACAGGAGGGATGTGAGGGGCGAGTTGTGTGTAAAAAGTCCATTGGGCTTGGACAGTGACCTAGGAGGCCAGCAGGACAGTCAGTGGGATATTCAACTTGGTCCTGTCTTCCTCTCTGTGCTCCTTCCCCATAACACACCTCCTCCCTGCTACCACTCCCTCCTCCCTCCTCTCATAACCACCTCCTCCCTCCTCTCATAACCACCTCCTCCCTCCTCCCATAACACACCTCCTTCCTCCTCCCATAACACACCTCCTCCCTCCTCCCATAACACACGTCCTTCCTCCTCCCATAACACACACCTCCTCCCTCCTCCTACTCCTTCCTCCCTCCTCCCATTACACACCTCCTCCCTCCTCCCATAACACACCTCCTTCCTCCTCCCATAACACACCTCCTCCCTCCTCCTACTCCTTCCTCCCTCTTCCCATAACACACCTCCTCCCTCCTCCAATAACACACCTCCTCCCTCCTCCATAACACACCTCCTCCCTCCTCCCATAACATACCTCCTCCTTCCTCCCATAACACACACCTCCCCCTCCTCCCATAACACACCTCCTTCCTCCTCCCATAACACACACCTCCTCCCTCCTCCCATTACACACCTCCTTCCTCCTCCCATAACACACACCTCCTCCCTCCTCCCATAACACACCTCCTCCCTCCTCCTACTCCTTCCTCTCTCCTCCCATAACACACCTCCTTCCTCCTCCCATAACACACACCTCCTCCCTCCTCCTACTCCTTCCTCCCTCCTCCCATTACACACCTCCTCCCTCCTCCCATAACACACCTCCTTCCTCCTCCCATAACACACCTCCTCCCTCCTCCCATAACATACCTCCTCCTTCCTCCCATAACACACCTCCTTCCTCCTCCCATAACACACACCTCCTCCCTCCTCCCATAACACACACCTCTTCCCTCCTCCCATAACACACACCTCCCCCTCCTCCCATAACACACACCTTCTCCCATAACACACACCTCCTCCCTCCTCCTACTCCTTCCTCCCTCCTCCATAACACACCTCCTCTCTCCTCCCTTTTCACACCTCCCCCTCCTCCCATAACACACCTCCTACTCCCACTTTCCTTCTCTCTCCCCTCCCCCGGCCTCCCTCTCTCCCGCAGACTCCCTCCTCCTCCCTCTGGGCTCCAGGTCTCCCCTTGGACTCAGTGTTGTTGGGAACTGGCTGATGCCTGCAGGCTCCTGTCCGTGGCTGTGGTGGGTGGCCTCAGTGGCGGCGATGGCCCTGTAGGGGTCTCGGTTGCCCTCGTGCCTGGGGTTACCTGCTGGCACTGTAAGTGGTCTGAGAAAGTTGCATTTAGTCCCCACACCAAAGAGCTGTGCTGCCCGACCTGGGGCTGCACCCGGGAAAACGGACAGGGCCTGCGTGAACACGCCGTCTGGGCATGCTGAGCCGGCGCGCCTCCTGCAGGGCTGGCCGGAGGAGGTGGCAGGCTTCTGGGCCGGACTGGCCATTCTCACAGTGGGTCCTGGGAGTCCAGGGCGCAGGCAGTGGGCAGGCGGTGCGATGAGTGCCAGCAGACAGGGCTTTCCCAGCTCCCCACCTGCCCCGCCCTCGGCCTCAGCACCCCTCGGGGCTCCTCAGGGCACTGAGCAGAGGAGGGGGCGGACCCGGGCTGCTAGTGGGGCCAGGGACGTGGTGGAGCCGAGTTCCCAGCGGCTGGCCACGGAGCTGGAGGGGATGGGGTGTGAGCCATGTTCCCAGGGTGGCGGGCACGGGCTGGGGTGCTGAGCTGGATTGCCTGCACTGCGGGAGCGCTGGTCTGGCTCAGCGTTACCTGGGGGCACCCAGAGGCACCCAGAGGCACCCAGAGGCGGAGAAAGGGAGGACACCAGGGGCGGGGAGAGAAGACCCCCACACCCCTGTGCTTCGTGACTCAGTGTCTCCACCACGGGCACTCCTCTGCCACCGAGCGCCTCTCGGAGAAATGAAGGCCTGCTGCTCGCCCACTGTCCCCGCCCCAGGCCGGCACCCTGCCCCGCCCGCCCGGGGCTGCAGTGCTTCCGATCCATGCGCTGTCCGCTGCGGGAACACAGCAGCGCCCACAGCCCGCGTCCTGGCAGCACAGGGCGGCAGCAGGGTGGGCGGGGGCCCGCGGGAGGCCGGGCTGTGCACCCTCAGCGCAGGCTCTGGCCGGCCGGGGCGGCTGTCTCGCCTTCACCACAGGCCTGCGCTGCGGGCTCGCCTGCGCTTTGCCGGGGAGAAATAAATGTCGTGGTGAAGAGACGTGTGTCCTCCTTGTTGACCAGCTGGGGCTGGGCTCCGGTCTTGCCACCTGCTGGCTGTGGCCCCGACGGGCCTCCTCTCCAGCCAGTTGTGTCTAAAAGGTTCCTGCCGGCCCCAACAGTGTGGCTCAGTGGTTGAGTGTTGACCCATGAACCAGGAGGTCACGGATCGATTCCTGGTCAGGGCACGTGCACAGGTTAAGGGCTCCATCCCCAGGGTGGCACTGGCAGGAGGCAGCCTATCAATGATTCTCTCATATCATGGATCTCTGAAGTCAATAAAATATATTAAAAAACAACTGTGTAAGCATGTGGCACATGTTCCTGGCCTGGGGAGTACACATCGTCCCATAACACACCTACTCCCTCCTCCATAACACACCTCCTCCCTCCTCCCATAACACACCTCCTCCCTCCTCCCATAACACACACCTCCTCCCTCCTCCCATAACACACTTCCTCCCTCCTCCCATAACACACCTCCTCCCTCCTCCCATAACACACACCTCCTCCCTCCTCCCATAACACACACCTCCTCCCATAACACACCTCCTCCCACCTCCCATAACACACCTCCCTCCTCCCATAACACACACCTCCTCCCATTACACACCTCCTCCCTCCTCCCATAACACACACCTCCTCCCATTACACACCTCCTCCCTCCTCCCATAACACACACCTCCTCCCTCCTCCCATAACACACCTCCTCCCTCCTCCCATAACACACACCTCCTCCCTCCTCCCATAACACATCTCCTCCCACCTTCCATAACACACACCTCCTCCCATTACACACCTCCTCCCTCCTCCCATAACACACACCTCCTCCCTCCTCCATAACACACCTCCTCCCTCCTCCCATAACACACACCTCCTCCCTCCTCCCATAACACATCTCCTCCCACCTTCCATAACACACACCTCCTCCCATTACACACCTCCTCCCTCCTCCCATAACACACACCTCCTCCCTCCTCCCATAACACACCTCCTCCCACCTCCCATAACACACCTCCCTCCTCCCATAACACACACCTCCTCCCATTACACACCTCCTCCCTCCTCCCATAACACACACCTCCTCCCATTACACACCTCCTCCCTCCTCCCATAACACACACCTCCTCCCTCCTCCATAACACACATCCTCCCTCCTCCCATAACACACACTTCCTCCCTCCTCCCATAACACACATCCTCCCTCATCCCATAACACACACCTCCTCCCTCCTCCCATTACACACCTC